TCCTAGTCAAATACCGACAGCGCCAAATACTCCTATTGAGTGAGTCCATAACGCCGTAGGCCAGTCCGAGTCGTCGAGTGACTTCCCGGTCGGAACCTCCGTCGCTCTGCACTACACTACCAAGATAAGTGAAGCTATCCAAGACCTCAATGTTCTCGCCACAGGCATGCACAGACTGAACATCGACATCCAAAAAGTCCCCAAATTCCTGAACCTTGGTCTTGGTCCAGTTGACCGCGAGACCCAATGGCTTTGGCTCCTCATGTCTCGAGAGCTACTTCCAGGACCTCTAATGTCTCCGCTAGAATCACTGCATCATCGGCAAAGTCATGGTCTGTGACCTTGAAATTGCCAATTGATGCCCCACAGGAACTACGGTTCACGGTACGGCCAAGTATCCAGTCCATACAAGTATTGAAAAGGGTTGGGGCCAGGACACATCCCTGTCTCACCCCGGCAGACACCGGGAAGAAGGCAGAGATGCCCTCCCCACACTTGGCAGCACTCTCAGTATCTGTATACAGGCCAGACAGCAAACCAATAATTCCAGGGGGGATCCCACGGAGACCCAGTAGGCTCCAGAGACTCTCCCGGTGCACTGAGTCGAAAGCCTTCTTGAGATCAACATAAGCTGCAAACATACCCTGTTGAAACTCAAGTCGCCGTTCCACAAGGACACGAAGTGCTAAGACACGGTCTATAGTTGACTTCTTGGGTGTAAAACCAGACTGCTCAGGTCTCTGTGCTCGTAATAGGTGGTCGCGCACTCGTGCCAGAAGCAGATGAGCGAGGACCTTGCCTGGTACGCTGAACAATGTAATACCTCTGTAGTTGCCACAGTCCTTTTGGTCCCCTTTCCCTTTCCAGATAGGGATGACCAAGCCCCTTTTCCAGTCAGGGGGAATGGTACCAGTCTCCCAAACGGCAGACAGGACTGCATGCAAACCACAGATCATGGCTTCTCCACCCGCCTTCAACGACTCTGCAGCAATCCCACAGACACCAGCAGCCTTTCCACTTTTCAGCTTAGACACTGCCCTTCTCACCTCTTCGATGGAAGGTGGTGCCTCACTGATTGGTGGATCAGCCACTAGTGGCTGTGTGCCAGCCAACGGTAGTTGTGAAGACGGGGGATCTACCCTATACAGTTGCTCAAAGTACTCAGCCCAGCGGGCCCTATACTCACCAGGCTCTGACACAATGCGACCATCCTCTGCTCTCACTGAGCCCGATTGAGAGATTTTGGGCAAAATGACCTTCCAACTCTTCCACGATGCCCCTAACGTACCTCTCTTGGTCCACTCTCAAAGAGGCCCTAGCAGAGCGAGACAGCTCCCTGTGCAAGACATGGTTCCCATCCAGTCTGGCAGCACGACTCATCTCTATAGTGTTCAGTGTCACGTCTGAGACAACACACCTCCTTCGCCGAGGTCGGACACCAAGGCACTCCTCGGCAGCTGACAGAGTTCCTTGCTTAAAGGTATCCCACAGTTCAGCAGGGTCCTGTAGAGTACCAAGCACTTCAAACCGGTTTGAGACTGGCATTGCATACTCCTGAGCCACCTCCTCACTCTTGAGCCTCTCGAGATGGAACACCTGCTGGTAAGATCTTGGGATGCGTCTAGATCTGAGGCGGAGCCTTAGTGTTGCGACAACAAGTCTGTGGTCGGTAGCAAAGAACTCAGCACTCCTAAAAACTCTAGTATCCACGAGAATATGGTCGATCTCTTTAGCTACAACGCCAGTATTGTAGTACCAAGTCCAGCGGTGTAGATCTCGTCTCTGGTACCACGAGCCCGCAATCCTCAGCCTCCTAGATCTTGCGAAGTCTAAGAGGTATGAGCTATTGATGTTCCTAGTACCAGAGCCATAGGGACCGATGCATAGCTCGCATCCTTCCCTGTCAGTGCCAGTGACTGCATTGAAGTCCCCCAAGACCATGAGGGTGTCCCCCCGGGGACATTGATCTACAATAGAGTCAAGTTTGGCGTAGAATATCTCTTTCTCTTCAATCCCACTTCCCTCAGTAGGAACGTAAACTGCAATTAGAGATATGAAGCCCAAAGTGTGCTTCATTCTCACAAGCAGAATACGCTCGTCAACAGGGGTAACCTTCTTGACTGAGGAACGGAAGCGGTCAGAGACAGCCACCGCGACTCCCCTAAGGCGCGCACCATTGCTACAGCCAGACCAGTAGTAGGTATAACCCCCACTACTGGTCTCACCACAACCAGGCCGTCGCACCTCAGAGAGAGCAGCGATGGCAATCCCCAGCCTCCCCAGCTCCCCCGACAACAAAGGCAGTCGATCATCCTCCAAGAGACTGAGGATGTTCCAGGCCGCTACACGGCACGCTCGCCGCAGATTGACCCCATTTGTGGGGCTCCGGCCGGGCGACGCCTTGGCACAACCAGTCATGCCTCCCAAGGAGGAAGAGTGGGGGCTGGGGGGGGCCATCCCCCCCACCACATAACCTCAGGGTGCAGGATTCCCTGGGAGGGCTTTACCCTACACCCGCCATAACAGGCTCGTCGTCCTGATTAGATGGATAGGTGGACTGGATATAATTTTTTAAAAATCTGCGGATCCAGATATTTCTGGCCATAAAGAGTTTGGCCACAGACAAATGATACTTTAAGGTAATAAGAGTATATATATGAATATATACATACATATATATAAATATATATATATATATATATATATATATATATATATATATTTATTTATTTATATATGTGTGTGTATATATGTGTGTGTGTGTGTGTTTTCTTTTTATGTAAGTAAATACACGTATTCATGTATACATACATACAGTTATATCAGTGAGCTTTTAACATAGCTCTAATAGAATTCCCGCTCTCTATGTAGACAAACTTTCCTTGCAGCGATGAGGAATGCGATGTATGCCGCGCATGACTCTAGCCTTGGTCAGGCAAGGTATAAGTAGGGCTTTAGGTCGAGGACTGTTTGCGAGTGCATGCCACGGATCTTCGGTGCATGCGTAGCAGGGTCAAGTTTACAAGGCACTACCTGTCATCTATGCAAGATGCGCGCCTATAGGAAGAATCTGGCAGTGTGAAAATGAGCATATGTATGTACTTTTTGTATGCATATGTATGTACAATCTGCACACGTATGTGTATGTATAAATGTATGTAGACATATATATTATATATGTGTATGTATGTTTATGTATTTATGTATGTATATATATGTATACATATACGTATATATATATATATATATATATATATATATATATATATATATGCATGTGTGCATATATACACATATATATGTATGTATACATATATAAATACACATATGTATATATACATATATACATAGATATATATAAACACACACACACACACACACACACACACACACACACACACACACACAAACACACGCACACGCACGCAGGCACGCACGCATATATATATACATATATGTATATATACATATATATGCACACAGGGACACATATATGTGTGTTTGTATGTATATATACATATATATGTATGTATATGTATATATACATATACATATATATATAAATGTATGTATATGAAAGTAAATATGTACTGTATTTATATACATATACATATATGTATGTGTATATCATGTAAGTGTTTTAACTCTTAGATGTTTAGATTCTCCTTCTTTATAATATTCAAATTATACATGATAATGAAATTTAAAGGATGCAGCTTATGGTAACATATTTCTATTACTATGATTATATCCATTAGTCTTGCAACTCCTTCTTTATGGCATTCAAATCATATATAATAATGCAATTTAAAGGATATAATTTATGGTAATATATTCCTATGACAATGCAGATTAATTAAACAAGGATTTTAATAGCAAATTGCTTATACACATTTATCTGAATAGTAGGGTTACTAAACTCTGAGGGTAATTCATCCAAGGAAGATTATGATAATTTCGCGCAATTGTTTTTCAAGTACAAAATCGTCCTAGGCAAGAACAATTTTAGCATTAAAGTGTGTATTCTTATAGGTTGTTCAATAATTTGTTGATAAGTAAAGTACTACGCTCTCGTGTTTCTCATTTGAAAAGGACGCATAGTGCATATAAGTTAATATCTGTTTTAATTTTACAGTCGTAATGAAGGTTAAGCTCTGTAGCTCTGTATGATTCTCCATCGTCGATGATTTTAACCGTAAAAACAAATTATATCAACTCCGTAAAACTTTTCACATGCGATCGATGTCCATTAGCAAAGTGCTGTATTTTCTTCGTGTTCTCGTGAAGAAGATCAAAGCAATTGACTTCGCTCTAAGATATTCAGTTGACTTGCCAAGCATCTCCCAACGGTACCAAGGCCAAGTGGAGGAATACCAACACCAAGAGAGAATTTAGTTATAAAACGAACGAGGCAGTTCCTCACGTGATTCTTCAGCTCGTCCGGGGAAAGCGTGGGATGCCGTGATGCTAGTTTTGTTGTGATGCCGAGTAGGATGTTGAGATTTTGCTGAATTGTGGTATACTATTGGTCTGATGATTAATAGGTAATACTGTCATTAACATACAGGTCATGCCCAAGACTTGTACTGCGAAATTCTGAATTGTTTGGTTATAAAACTACCAGTATTCTCTGTTTATACAACATTCATATGATGTTCCAAAATGGTAGTTGCGTATGAATTTGCATGGCGTATTCTGCTAAGAAATATGGACCTCTGATTCCAACGGAGACTGAGCTGTAAGACAAGCGAAGCGAAAAAAAATAAAAAAATAAAAAAATAAAAGAAAAATAATTATAATAATATTTAGCACACTTGTTTACGCTTGCGATACACAATGTTTGAAATTTGGATTACCTTTTTTACTCGTCTATCGTCTCCTGTTATCGTTCTCTCTTCATTCATTGCGTTTCCGTGTTCTATTCTTAAAAATGATCTCTCGCTATCGGGTATTCACCACGTCACAGCGTATCTTTGTTTGGCCTCCGGTACCCCCCCCCCCCCACCGCGTCTCCCGCAGCTTCTCCGTCCCCTGAACTGAGGTCACAGTTCCCCGCCCGTGGACACCTCACTCTCGCTCCGCCCGCCCTTCCGCCCACACCACGAGGGAACACTGCCATTTGTTGACTCGTGATTAGTAAGTATTTTTCTATTCTGGTGAACAATCAATAGCATCGCATAACAAAGTTCACAGTAAATAGCATCGATTTTAGGAACACTGTAAAACGTGGGTCGACCTTACTTCTGTTGCATGTGTGAAGTGATGTCGAGAGTGACCTGCTGGAAAGATTTCTAGTTTTAGTAAACGTTCATATTGCTCGCGGATGCCTTATTATAAGAATACCTTTACTGACTATTTTGCTTTTCATAGTTCGTTTAATTGACGGAAAATAATTCATTTCTACTGCTCACCGTAAAAATAGGAACAACTGTATCTTTCTTTGCCTGTAGCATTTCTCTCAAGAAATATCTTACTCTGAAATATCATAATCATGAGTGTTGAACACCGCCACTTGTTGACTCGTGATTTCTAAGTTTTATTTTAATTGTGCTCTTCTATTCTGGTGAACAATCAATAGCATCGCATAACAAAACTCACAGTAAATAGCGTTGATTTTAGGAACACCACTGTAAAACGTGGGTCGACCTTCTATTCTGTGTGTGAAGTGAGAGGGAGAGTGACCTGACTGGAAAGATTTCTAGTTTAAGAAAACGTTTATGTTACTCGCAGATGCCTTATTATAAGAATACCTTTACTAACTACTTTGCTTTCCATAGTTCGTTTAATTGATGGAAAATAATTCAGGAACAACTGTATCTTGCTTTGCCTGTAGCATTACCATTCTCTCCTAAGAAATATCTTACTCTTACATATCATAATCATTAGTGTTAATAAATTCGTAATGCAAGTTAACACCATCCAAAAATATACGCCACATTATGGATATACGATGATGGATCTAACAAGAGTAGAAGAGGGGGGGGGGGGTCAAACCAGGAATAATTAATGAGGATTGACCTAAACGTCACTCCTCTCGTACGCTCGTGTCGGGCCCATCCACACAGCTGCATAACGGCGAGAATACTTAGAGTAGCGTTACGTCGCTATTCGCTTTCTCTACATGATCTTTACGATGGAAAATCTACACACGCAGTATGTATTGGAGGAGGAGGAGAAGAGAGAGAGAGAAGGGAGGGAGTAAGGGAGGGAGGGAGGGAGGAAGAGAGAGAGAGAGAGAGAGAGAGAGAGAGAGAGAGAGAGAGAGAGAGAGAGAGAGAGAGAGAGAGAGAGAGAGAGAGAGAGAGAGAGAGAGAGAGAGAGAGAGAGAGATGGGATGGGTGGATAGAGGGAGGGAAGGAGGAGGAGGGAGAGGGAGAAAGAAGGGATGGAGGGAGGGATGAATGGAGGGAAAGAGAGGGAGAGGCAGATATATATAAATATATATATGTATATACATATATATACACATACACACACAGAATGTTACAAATATACACTTGCACGTACGAATGAATACTTAGGAAAACAGCGACAAAAGGTGATTTTCTTTTCCTACTTGCGAGCGCGGAAGGAGGGGCCGCCAAGGAGGTAATGGGTAATGTATTTTTACACAGCACGACCGTTCCTTATGCAACTTGATTCGCGCCCCGGCCAGGCGCGAGAAGTTGCAATTGCCGCTTGGATGTTACTGCTGTCAGCACCAGCTGAGACACGCTAGCGAGTCGGCATTAATTAACACAAGCCGGGCTCCCCTCATGGGTATAGCCCGGGCGAGGCTCAGCTTCGCATATCGGACTTATCCTTATTTATTATTGTTGTTTTTCATTAACCCTGTCTTCTATTCTCACATTAATGCTCTTCCCCTGTATTCATCTTCTTTCATTCCCCGTTTTCTCTTTATGTCCTTTCTCGTCTCCTCCCTCTAACCATTCTCTCAGCCCTTACAATTTAATGCTAATTACATTTAATCATCACTCATAATTCTTTATCGTAATGACACCCCCTATGCCAAGGTCACATAAGGGCTAGAGTACGAAATATCGTGTACTTTTTAACAGCTTCTTCGCAAAAAAAAGGCTGAAGTCATGAAGTTCGTGATGAAATACTTCTGTTTTTTTCGTGTTCTTTCTCTACTTCCTCTTTTTCTTACATTTACTCCTGTTGTTGTTTTCACTATTGATGCTTTTGTGTTGCAGTTCTTCTTTTCTTTATCATTAATGTCAGTATTTTTATTACTATTATTGTTATTATTATAAATATCATTATCATTATTGTTACCATCACCGTCATTATTGTTAGTCTTCATTATTATCATTATCACTATTGTGCAATGGTTATCATTATTACTATTATTACCATCATCATCATCAACAGTAGTAGTGGGAATAGTTTTTATAGTATCTTAGTACCATCATTATTATTATTAGCAGTAGATGTAGTAGTATAAAGGAACCGGAGACACAATATCAGATGTAGAAACAGTAGATTTGTCAAGTTCTGGATCATACTATTTTTATCCTTCTATAATAAACATGTAGATAAACGGATTAACATACAGACAGACAAACAGATAGCTAGACATTCATATGGACAGGGATACAGATATATAGAGGCACGTGGTGGTTTGCGTTATGCAGGATAGTTACGTTCCAACTACTCATTTTCTCGGTTACTCTTTCACAATTTTCGTCGTTGATCCTAACGAGGTATAATTTTTCCTTACTAGATTGACTTTTTATTCAATATTTCATCTTAACATCTTATTAATCTTACAATTTCCTTGTCAACATTATCTAGCCTTTCCCCTTTGTTTGTTAATAGTATAACTGCATTATCTCTTGTATAAATATGTTTCCTTGATTTGATGTGCTTTTTCTTAGTCTATTCTCTTTCTACATTCTATCCACTGAATAGCCCATACTCTGTACATCATGTATGGCTTCAATCTCACGCTGATTGCTTGCTACTATCCCGAGCTTTATAAATCTTATTAGAATTTTAAAGCTCTAAAACACATTCTTTGAGAAGGCTCTTCCTTTCCGTGCTGTTGACAATAGCAACGTTATCGATAAATCCTTTTTCATTTTCACCACTCCTTGCCCGTAATCCTATATTCTGACTTGAGAGACTCTTCTTGTCCTTTACTTAATGAATTGTTTACTTTACTTAGTACTTTCTGCTTGTCATATTCTTTAGCCATGTTAAAAGATGGTTATTAGTTGGTTATTAGTATAAGGATACTTTTATGTCATGTATCAATGATATACCTCATATTACCTAAACTAAGGTAAAATTATATTTTGTTAAGTTACCCATGTAAGAAAGCGTGAAAGCTTTGGCAGTGCTACGAAAGTATTACTTGAGAGAAACAAACCCACAGACTGTATGCTTTATGGGGGTCATTCATAAACGAAAGACTGAAAGATGGCAGTGTTACAGAGTATCTGTCATCCATGGAGGAGATAGTAGCAGCATTAAGAGAATCAGGTAATCGTCTCTTAATAACGACTACACTGAAAGGACTTCCACCAAAGTACAAGAATTTTGTTGATGTTGCTAATCAACGTGACCCTCCATATGAGTACTCTGGATTAAAGATAGCCTTATTGAGTCATGAAGACCGCCTCAGAGAAAATTCTGATACAGAAAGAGTGATGGTATCCCATGGCAACTGTACAGTTAAACAGAAGAGATGCTTTAAGTATAGTGAGCCAGGCAATTTTGCATCAAAATACAATAGAGGTGGTGAGTTTCTAAGTGTAAACAAACATCAGAATAATAAGAAAAGGTGTGAATTTCATCAGTCAAGAACTCGTAATACCAATGAATGTAGAACAAAGAACCCCAGGAGAGTGATAACTCAGTAAATTCTGCAAATGACACAAGTGAAGAATTGGACATTGGAAAACGGAATATATCAAGCTTAGAAGCAGATGAAAGTTTACTGATGATTGGCAGTGGTTGCACTTCACACATAGATATAAATAAACCAAAATTGAGACTTCAAGAGTCTTTTGATCCACAAAATCATTACATAGAACAGGCAGACGGCCAAAGGCAACAAGGAACTGTACAGGGAGTTGGTGATATCAAGGACTTTATCCAAGATCGAGACGGCAACTCAAGAAGTATTCTGTTAAAAGATGCACTATACATACCAGGATTTAAGCAAGACATCATGTCAGTATGAAATGCCATTAAGAGTGGACACAGCTTTACTTTTTTCACCTAATGGCAGTTCACTAACAAGGATAGCAGGGTATTTGACATTGTAGAGAAAAACAAATGGTTCTACTTACGTAAAGGTAAGCTACACACAAACTCTCAAATGGATAAACTCAACAAGATCCATTTAGGAATGGCATAAAATTCTAGGCTAATGTGCAAAAAAGAATGAAGCAAGATGACACAGTATAGAAATAGAGAGCCTGACAAAAAGGCTACACTGTGATGTAGTAGGACCCATTGATCCAGCAGCTAAAGGAGGCTACAGGTACAGTATGTCTTTCATAGATGACTATTCAGGAGCTCTTAGAATCTACCTCATTAAGAATTAGGGTGATACAGTGCAGGCTATGAAGAGATATCTTGCAGAGACAGCACCATATGGCAATATAAAAAGCGTTTTCTGCACCCTACTTCCCACATCAAAACAAGACAGAGAGATCACGCAAATCAATTTTTGACATGGCTCCATGTTTACTGATTGAGTCTAAATTACCCAAAGATATGTGGAGTTATGCTGTGAAGGCTGCTTGTTACATCAGGAATAGGTGCTATAATCCCAGAACTCAGAAGACTCCGGGGGAAATGCTTACTGGAAGACAGCCAAACATCAGCAAAATGGAAGTTTTTGGAGTAAGATGCTTTGCTTATGAACAAGAGAAAAAACTTGATCCCCGGAGTAAGGAAGGAATATTTGTGGGCTATGGTGACCAGAGCCCAGCCTACTTGATTTACTTCCCAGAATCCCAAACAGTAAAGAAAATAAGATGTGTTAAGTTCATGGAAAACTTACCCAATGTAGCTGAACCACCGAATGACGAGCAAACCTTAGATGAAGATGACATCTTGGTGGAGACTAGACCTCAGCAAAAATCACTTTAAGATGAAACAAAAGATAACACGGAAACCCT